TTCTAGATATCTCTGTTTAGCCCTAGGTTTTTACTGTATTCTAATAAAGTTTTGTTTTTTTGTTATTCTTTACACTTATTATCGAGATTGGACTGGGTTCCTTTCCTATTGGCCACCTTCTAGTAAGGAAGCTTTTTGGATATTATTTTTCTAATCTATTATTTTTTGGGTTATACCCTATTACCCAGTCTAGGTGACCTCATTTACTCGAGAGATGAGAGGTGGGTAGGTTTCTCCTTTCCTACCTTCTGGTCTCTTGTGTTTTCTATATATATATTTGCATTTGACAAAACCTTTTTAAAAATTAGTAGGAGTATATCCATATGGCTCTATTACCTCCAAAATATAAGGACAATCCCATACATAGGGAATAAACCATATAGACAGAGTCATATTATTGAGTTAAATACATTAACCATTTTACTATTTTATACAGAAAGCTAATAAAATAAAAGTTAAAACGGTGTAAATATACATAGAGGGATTTTTGAAATGCAATTTATACACAAAATTGATTTTTATCCTACATTTTTCTGTTATTTGTGCCATCTATTAAATAAATAAAAATAATTCAATATGTTAAAACAATTTTTTTTGTAGCGAATGTGTTAAATATTAAAATCAAAATAAACACTTCAAAAAGTATTGGAAATTAATGTCATATTTGGACATTTATTTGTAGTCTAATACATTTCTATGTATTATGTTTTTTTCTAGATCCCTCATTCTATGTGCAACGAGAGATGCCCACCTGGGTACAGAAAAGTGAATCAGAGAGAAGCACCATGCTGCTATTCTTGTGTTCAGTGCTCACCTGGTGAAATATCCAATCAAACTGGTATGGAAGGCTCGCTAATATTTTTGCATTATATACCTGTATGTGTCAGTTTTAACATTTCTAAATTAAATGATTGTATTATTCCCATAAATCCCAGGTTTGTGGTATGAGGCCATGGAGAAATTGATTGTCAACCCAAGCATTAAGCGATCAATTGATTGGCATTGATTTGCGCTATTACAATTTGCAACAAGGGTACCTCCCCCATAAGCCAGCTAGCCTCAAGAACTCTTATGTGAAGCCAAAGTGAATTTGTTAGATATTTTCTGCGCAAGAAACAGTGGTCAATCTATAAGTCAAGAGAGCAGAAAGGCCCAAGGATCTAAGTCAAATGGTCTTAGAAAAAATTATTGTAAAGGATACTCTCCAATTCTCTCCTAAAGTACAAATTGAAACAAATACCCACTATAGCCCAAACAGTTTACACCAATAGTGGATATTAATATAAAATATAAATTTACCCTTAGGATACACTGTAGAAAATAACAAGATTTCTCAATATCTTCTAAATAAATAACTGTAAAAGTTCAATCTACAAAAAATAAAAAGGGATCACCCATAGCATAATACTGTAAAACACCATATATTAGCATAAGTATATATTGCTCTCACAAATTAAAAATTGATTGCAGACAGAACTTTACATTTTAGGCAAAAAGACCTTTCTTCATCTTTATCCCAGATTAATCCATAATGGGAAAAGAGAGAAACACACACATAGTGCTGGACATTTAACAAGTAATTATAGGTTTATCCAATGATTACACTCACAAGAGTTAAAGTAGTTAAAAGTCCATCAAGATTTCTGTCTTCCAGTCTTAGGAAGCTAGCTTCAATCCCCAGGAAACAAAGAAGCAAAGATAGGTTGCACTTGTGCCTCGGTTCGCATGTCCACTTTAGCACCACCCTGAATTGCCATAAGCCAACCATGTGCATGCCATACCTAGAACATCTCCTGTTATTGTTTGTCCCATGCATCACATCTATGCGGTTTAAGTCTCTCTTTGATTCACAACTATGGATGACGTCTTTCTGGTTTCCATCCACAGGTGAATAAATAAACCACAATGGTTGTGGTGCATGTCGTGTGGTGTTTAATCTTAAATGCTTCTCCAGTTTACTTTTAAAACCCTGGGTCTTCTTAGGAAGAAATTTGCAGCCTTTGTAAGAACCACATTTAAAAAACCTCTATTAAGAGGTTCCTCTTTAATGCATGCTCCAAAAGTACTCTATGCTTTTTTAAAAATAATTTTCAGTATTCAGGATAATAAGCGCTTTTTGAACATGTATCTTCCAATAACAAAGGCCAATGGCACTCTATAACTTTCTTAATTTTAAAAGCTGTCTATGCCCCTATGCTCATCTGAAGACCTTTGTCTACCCTCTGTTCATACTCCCACCTCAGATGCTTGCCTTCAAGACTTCTCTTGGGCTGCCCTCGTACCCTGGTTGCTCTCCTGCAACGGTCGTCAAAACACTAAATCTTTAGTGAATACTATTCTAGGAACCTATTTTTCTACTCTTACCCTTATCTTTTTTCCCCCTACCCCTCTCTCTCTAGCATGTAAGCTCATTAAGCAGGGCCATCAACCCCTCTGTTCCTATGCATCTAACTTGTCTGGTTACAATTACGTGGTAGTCCACCCATTGTACAGCACTGTGGAATTTGTTAGTGCTATATAAATAATAATAGTAATAATAATAATAATAATAATAATAGAATTGATCGATAAAAGAAAATTCTAATTGTTTATTGCAAGAAGAATTAAACATTTTCTAATCACTTAAGATCTTATTCCTATCCATGTTATTCACTTGTGTAATCTCTTCTTCTAGAAAAGATTCAGAATATGCCTTTTTCTAAAACCTTTTTTTATGCTTGATCTATAAAACACTTTTCATCCATACAATTAATTTTTATCCTAGTAAATTGGCTTCTGGGAACTCCATGAAGCCAATTAGGATGATGACTGCCCCTACCATGAATAAAACAATTTGCATCTGTAGGTTTAAAAAGATGTTTTGGTTTTAATTTGTAAATCCTCTACAGAAATAGGTAAATCTAAAAAATACTTGTATGGTCTATTTCGGGGTAAAAACTAAGGATTTGTCATTATCATATATATATATATATATATATATATATATATATATATATATATATATATATATTATATAGTAAAATTATGTAAATTCCCAACAGAGCCTTTTCAAATAATTAAAATGTCATCAATAGATCTTCTCTAGAGCATCAAGTTTGTGTCAAATGGATTATTGGACCACATATTACTGGTTTCCCAGCTATCTATAAATTTATTTGCAGGATTTGGTGCAAACTTGGTGCCTATATATGTTCCCTTTACTTGGGGCAACAAAACAATTGGTAGTAGAGATTAAGAAATTTTGAGTTAAGATGAATTTAATGCCTTACAATAAAAATTGACTAAAAAGAGGGGAGATATTTGCATCTTGTTCTAAAACACATTTAACTGCTAGAATTATTTTCTCATGGTCTATGATAGTGTAAAGCGATGTGACGTCAAAGCGTGCCTCCTCCCTCCATTCAATATAATCCAGCTTTTGTATAAGATTTTTTGTATCTTTGAGATTTGATTTTGCACCTTGTGTGTATTTTTGGAGGAAGAAGTCTGTATATTCAGACAACCTTGAAATCAGATAATTAATTATAATTGGCCTTATAATTAGTTGTGTAACTAACTTGTCCACCTTAGAGAAAAAGTAAAAAGTCGGAATCTTTGGAAAGTCAATAAATAAAGATGAAAAAAACCTTCTTGTCAATAACATAAGTATTTAGACAGTAAGATTATAAGTTCATTATTAAAAGATTAATTTGGGTTTCTCTCCAATTTAACAAAAGGTGCGATTATCAACCAAAAGTCTGTTTGCTTCTTGTAAATATATTTTTGGGCAGACATGAAAACTGTACCCCCCACCCTTTTCTGTAATTTTTATAACAAAATATCATATTTACCTGAATCTAATGCACCATCAAATCTAATGCGCACCTTAGTTTTTGAAACCTGGAAGTTGAAAAATGTTTTTGCTGGCGAATGTAATGTGCCCTTAAACAAGAAGATACTACCATACAACATTGTGCTACAATGAAAATGTTTATTGCCATATTCCATAGTAACATTTATGGTATTTCAATTTTAGTGTTACATGTCAAGTCTATTCTTTCTTAAGCTCACTTTTAGGAGTGAAATTTGCCTGTGTGAATTCACCAGTTTTAATTCATCTGTGTGAATTTGCCAGAAAATTTCAAATGTTGCCTCAAATGTAATGCATCATTAAAATCTAATGCACATTCAAATTTTAGGAACTTTATTTTCCCCAAAAAATATGAGCATTAGATTAGAGTAAATACAACATTTCCTATTCTTTAAATTCTTTAAAAAGTAATTTTCCTTTTCTGACAAGTCAAAATTTCAGAGTTTATAGTCAAATTTATTAAAATCCCTATTTACCATTTTTGAAAATTGTCTCTATTTGGCTCCCCTTTTCATTAGGGCAAAATGAGGATTTAACTCTAAAAAAAACATAAAAATGAAGTTCCCTTTAGAGTGTATTATTTTTTTCAATAAAAACACTTCTTTTCTTTTTTAATGTAGAAACTCTTCAGAGACATTTTCCGAGGGTGTGGGTATGGCTGAACGTTTGTGTGTATGGGAGAGTGTACATAAGTAGGTTAGTAGGGGCACTTATTATTTATAAAGTACAATGGTGATCAGACAGTAATTCTTCTTAAAAAGACTTCTAAAAGAGTATATCCCCCTGCACTTAAGTCCAACCACCCTTTCTTAATCTATTTTTATTTTTAATTTCAGATATGGAAAATTGTTTGCTGTGTCCAGAAGATGAATATCCTGATATTGCTCAAGTCACTTGTCTGCCAAGAACCATTGACTTTTTATCCTACCATGAACCTCTTGGTGCAACATTAGCATCATTTGTAGTAATTTTATTTTTTATCACAGCTGCCGTACTTGGTATTTTTATAATGTACAGACATACACCCATAGTACGAGCCAACAATAGGTTTCTAAGTTACATCATTCTCTTTTCCCTTATGCTTTCCTTCCTTTTTTGCTTGTTATTTTTTTGCTCACCTAATAAGATCACATGCTTGCTGCAAAATGTTGTTTTAAACATAATCTATGCTGTGGCTCTGTCATCTGTTCTGGCAAAAACAATTACAGTTTTAGTAGCCTTTTTAGTTGTTAAGCCTGGGAGCAAATTCAGGATATTTTTGAGATCCAGGGTATCCATCTTTATAGTTATGTTCTGTTGCTTTGGTGAAGTTGTAATCTGCTTGTGGTGGTTAACATCCTGGCCTCCATTCCCAGATAAAGACTCAAAGACAGCAGTTGCTAAGCTAATACTTCATTGTAATGTTGGTTATTTTCTTTTGTTTTATGTTGCTCTAGGTTATAATTGGTTCCTGGCACTTTGTAGTTTTATTGTAGCTTTTCTAGCCAAGCAGTTGCCAGATCTATTTAACGAGGCCCGTTATATCACTTTTAGTATGCTTGTGTTCTGCAGTGTTTGGGTCTCATTTATCCCAGCATATATGAGCACCAAAGGGAAATCTATGGTTGCTGTAGAAGTATTTGCTATCCTGGCTTCCAGCACAGGAATTTTGGGGTGTATATTTTTACCCAAGTGCTATATTATCATATTCAGGCCCGAATTAAATACTAAACAATCTTTATGCGGTACTGGTTTGTAATAAATGTGTGTTTGTTATATATTAGATTATTTTATAGAAAATAATTAATGCTGAGCTATAGCAACTCAGAACTTTAAAAAATAATTACAGCTACTAATGTTTAGCCCCTTAAGGACACATGCTGGAATTATTTTATCATGGATGTCCTTCCCTTAAAGGACCCATGATGAAATGCAGTATTTTGCGACCAGGAGTGGTTTCCATTTTGATACCTGGGGCTCCTCTCTGTCAGCTGGGGACAGAATTAGTGGCTTTATGCTTATTAATGAGCTGTATGCAACACTCAAAGTTAGTGTTAAGTCTATTCTTTCTTAAGCTCACTTTTAGGAGTGAAATTTGCCTGTGTGAATTCGCCTGTTTGAAATTACCTGTTGTCTGTGTGAATTTGCCAGAAAATTTCAAATGTTGCCTCAAATGTAATGCATCACTAAAATCTAATGCACATTCAAATTTTAGGAACTTTATTTTCCTCCAAAAATGTGAGCATTAGATTAGAGTAAATACAATATTTCCTATTCTTTAAATTCTTTAAAAAGTAATTTTCTTTTTCTGTCAAGTCAGAAAAAGAAAAATAGACATTTAACCCCATCCCTGTGTCTACAATTGGTGAGAGCAGGGTTAAATCCTTGCTCCCACCAGGTAGACTGGAGTATCAATGAATAGACGAAAAAATTAGATGTATACAGTGCTCAAGTTTAAAATGGGTTATTTAAGTTATTCACCTTAAAATTCGGGTGAGTTCATCCAAGGGAGACCCATGGCGGCCCTCTGTCAACTGGGTCCATATTTAGTAGCTCCAGACTGACAGATGGACTGTATGCAATGGTCAAAGTTAGCACTGCAAACAGCCCTTTAAATTAATTTAAATTGATTATGCTGAGCTGCAGTGATTCTAGACTACAAGCAGGCTATTAGACACTCCCAGTGTCTCCCTGCAATGGGCTTTACCAGCTTCCCAGCACTGATCAGTGTGATTGGCAAAGGAGCTTCAACATGAGAAAGATCTTTCTGTTATGCTGAAAACAGCAAGTAGATGTTTGTCAAACACCACTCTCCACTGAATAAACTTAGAAATGAGTACTAATATTAGCAAAGAGAAATCCATAGTATTAGAATACTGGTTAGGTTTAGAATTAGGTTATGCATTGTGACTTGGATTAGGTTTGTATGACGGTTACGATTAAGATTAGGGTTTACTTTAGGTTAAGGTTAGGACCACAAAGTAAATCCCTCTGCTGAAATTTAGCAAGGGAATGCCTCTGGTGACGTCAGCAGAAGGAATCCCTGTATAACTATTGCTAGGATTAGGTTTAGGAATAAGGTTAGGATTATGATTAGGGTTAGGTTTAAGGTGAGGCTTGGGATAAGGATTAGAATAGAATACAGGATATTGCTACTTTGCAAAGGTATAAATATATGTGGTATTGTACTCATGTTGCGGAGTCAAGTTAAGGGAATTTAATTATAGTAGATCACATGAAATTTTGAAAAAAAAAGCAACAATATACAATGTGTACATAAACATTATAAAACAAAAAATGGTGTAGTAATGGCACCTAAATAAAGCACAAAATACATCATGCTAGAGTCCCCCTGGGTGTCCACATCTGCATATCGGTAAACATTTATTGAGTAATTTAAAAATGTGATCTTCTAAAATGCATCATAGACCCACCTTCAATTAGCTAATTGTTTTTTTTTGTTTTGTTTTTAAACTGCACTGGGCAGGTTTTAAATTCAACCCTGTACTTTTAAATGTAATGAAGCAGTTCATTCTGTACACAGGAGTTAGAGCTGAGGTATATTTAGTGATTGCTATTACAGTAGCACATATCAAGTTTACAAAATAACCAATAAATTGCAATGTGCATGTATAAACAGACAGAAATAATTCATATCCATCTATCAAGATTCTAACTGGAAATCTAAATTAACCAGGCCTCTTATATGGTACTTGAAGATATAATGGCAAAGTCATACATTGGGGGTATTGTTTTACTCAGAAAAGAAAGCTAAGCATAATTTAGGATTTTGTATAGGAGTAGCACACTCCAGGTATATGAAATACATATTTTAAAAAACCTTGTGTGTATGTAAAAAAACGAAAACAGAAAAAAAATAGACAATTTTAGCAGATATTGGCTATCAAATAGCTATGTAAAAGTGGCAAAATACCCTGTGATGTCTACTTTATATAAATATATACTTTTGTGTGGCAATTTTGTTTTTCTGTGTTGGCTGTTAAACTTGAAATACAAACATATCATATTCTAAAATTGTTCCACACTGAAATCTCCGACATATGATGTACTCTGTAAATCAGGACAAATAAATACATTTATGTTGAATTACTTTTCTTAAGCTGCATTATTGTTGCTCATATGTCATATCAAATTAAAGCCAATTTTGCACCTTTCAAAAACAGTTTATAATATGTGTTGGAGAAATTAACAAAATTAAAATTGCTGCTGAACAAATACATATATTAAACTGTGATCTTTCAGCTGTTTAGTAGATCACCCCCTTAATTATTATGCTTATGTATATTATATGGATCTGATTTTGCTCTTTCTCCTGTTTAATACATAGCTCCCTAATTTGGTATCCTTAAAATGGCAATCCCAAACGTGCAGACGCTTGCACGCATCAGGAGGCAGGGTATGAGGGGCGGAGTGTGACCGATGACCATATATAGTCACGTGGCTGCTGTGTTTTGTGGAGAGTGTCTCGGAGGCTTGATGCTGAGGAATGGGGAACAAATGAAGTGAGCAGGGAAAGCGTCAGGCAACATAACTTCTCTGGTGGTCCGCGAGTAGGGACATAATGTCTCCATCTCCAAGGCTCTGTGAGAGGAAGTGCAAAGGGGCCAAGGAGTGAAAGTGGATGAGGGGGCCCCGAAAGATAATTGGAAAAAAAAATAGGTTTCTCCCTTTTAATTATATAAAAGAAGTTGGCAATATGCTATTAGCAAATCTGGCCAATTTGTATGATCTCAATTGATGCATGGGATTATAAATCAAAAGCAAACTCCTATATACATTTAAATGGAGAGATGAAAAAAACTTACTTTTTTAAAATAACAGCTGACCTCAATTTATCAAAGAAGAGGGCTAAATGTGCAAGGATTCATCATGATATGATAAACTCTAACACTAAAAGATCATCAAAAGTTCAAAGAGTGCAAGCTTTTATTTTTTTTGTTTATCTTTATATGAATTTCCTGAATTACACAGATAATGGAGTCTTCTAAATACAAATTAGGAGGTGAAACAATTTGCCATATATAATGTTGGTGTATATAATGTTGGACACTTAACTAATTAAGTCAAATATAACATGTTGTTAAAAGGCCAAAAGATAGCTATTAGCTAAATATGGCCACTTTAAAGACACAGAAAAAGAGATATCTAAAAAAAAAGATACCAAACAGGATAAGGAAGCTTTATAATTTTTCTCCCAACAAGCGAACAGAGCACAACAAAATAAATTTAGGGCTGAAAGTCCAGTGTTGGAGGAGTCAGTTACAGAGGAAATTTAAAAATTCCTTGTTTAATCTACAAGAATGTATTAACCTCAGTTTGGAACAGCAAACAGGAACATTTAAAATGGAGATTCAAGGTGGTGAAGCCTGACCTGTAAACTGAGCAGACGTGTAGCACTTGAGCCCCTGCAGCTAAGACAGAATTTGGGGTACTAACCCCTGCCACTACATGTATACATCACCCAAAACGAATATCCCAGGTCAGGGGATCCTGAGCAAACAGCCAGATCATTTTTCTGAGAATCTCTATTACCGGGTGCCCGACCAAGCCTGCTGCGGCCTGTTGAAAGCGAAGCTGGGGAGAGGCGGCCGATCTCCTCATCTTTGGCTTGTGACTTGTGACCTGCTTCACTCCAACCCCCCAATTTGGATCGGTGGGGGAGATCCCGGTACCCTCTGGGCTACCCCACATTGTCTTATCACTCCACAAGAGTTAATTCCGAACCGCTCTCAAACATCACAAGATGGTGACCGACCTCCTCCCTCACTCACATGGCGCAAGTTTCACACAAAAGGCACTCTGTCTGAAGCACTTTTGGCTCACACTGCGAGCACGTGAGATGGCCAGCAAGTTTCGGCATCAGCAGGGAGACCGGAGAAACAGAAGCCCAGAGGCGGAGAGGACTGATAGGGGTGCAACACAAAAGAAACCGCTTCTGGAACCCCCTACTAACCTACCTGGGTCAAGAGCAACCAGAGGCTTGTCCTCCATACATCACTCACACAGGCGGAAGATTGCCAGCATAACGCGGCAACTCACCTGAATCTGCCAACCCCCCAGAGAAGGGGATAGACTTGGACTCCAGACGGATGCCGGCCCTCATGCAGGCCTGGGGCTGGAAGGGCACCTTGCCCTGGAGCAATGTATCCTCTGGAGGAGTTGTAGCACCTCCACTATGGGAGTTGGTTGAGCTAACTAGCCGAACTATCGCCTCAGTTAATTTTGCGCACGACACCCTATGTTGGAGTTTTTATTTTCTTAACATTTATCAGTCATGCATCTAATTTTTATTTTCATTTCAAAGAATTTAGCTTTTCTTATGGATGTGGTATATATATATGTTGTTATAATGCTAACAGCCCCAGAGGTTATATTCTCACTGTAATCTACAGCTTGATGCCTAGCAATGCTAAATTTACAGCGAACACCAGTTCTAGTGTCCGTACTGCTTCTGAAAACTCCTCCTATCCGGAATACATAGAGTGTCTGTACAGTCTGATATTTTACAGTGACTACATCTGTTTATTGTGATATTAAAGTAGGAGAGCGTATTCCTGAAATTTAGTTATTTCTAGCATTTTCACTCATACAGTACATATGGCCTCAACGGTATAAGCTAATACTTAATTAGCTAATACTTAATGCGGCACTGTCATGGCCGCATTCATTTTTTTAAAATTTTTTTTTATAACTGCCTCCCAACTCTACTACATCTAATTGCCTCTCTAGTCACCCCCAAATGCCACTAAACCCCCCATCCTACGCATTTTTAAATCTTAATTTTGTGCTCGGAGCTAGGTCCTGGGCGCCGCCATCTTTGTGTGGGCGGATGAAGGCCCTATGGTACACGTCATCTGCCCACACTAGATAGCACTGTAAAATTCCCGCGCATGACCAGTTAAACACTGGGGCATTCACTATTGTCCGACATTTTGTCTATTCATTCGTCAGAAAGACGAATTAATGAATAGAAATGTCAGACAAACAAACACCAAATGCCAGTGTTCGCTTATTTGTTCATTAAGTTTATTACAAGGAGGGAGCTACCGGTGCACAGCTCCCTCCTTGTAATATGTAAAAATATAAGTGGCAGGGAGCAGTGCTGGCCACTTCCTAAGTCCCCTATGTCCTACCTCACTCTATGGGGATCAATATGACCCTCATATTAGCATAAGGGAGATTGAAATCTCCCGAATGCCCCTACTCGCTATGCCGCAAGTAGGGGCATGTGGCAAACCTAGCCACTTGGACATTATTTTGTACTGTCTCTTTAAGGGTTGCCGGTATGGGGTTCCTATTGTATGTTATAGCGTGTAATGTAATGCACTGTTAATAATGTATTGCCCTTTAGGGACATGGTTTGGGCATGATGGATTTGTGTTGTGCTGCTGCTGGCCCTTTTAAGAAACATCTGGGGACATACTGTGGAGTTACTGGGTAGCCACCATTTCCTGTATCAGAAGCACATGGTGAGAACAATGGATGGCGGCCATTTTAACTCCCAGACACTGTTTGGACTTTTCAACACGGTGCCATCTCGCCAGTATTTGTTGCACAGAGACATCGTGCGGTGGTTTTGGACTATACAGCAGGGGACACATTATACAGTGATTGTTTTTTATTTAGCCTGTATATGTTCTGCAGAATCTGCATTAAACTGTATTTTCCAAAGTACTGAACGGATCTGGGTGAATTTTGGCTATGTGGTTCACCCAGATCCCCCAGTTCCAATGATATACTTTTTATGGGGTTATTGCATGTTTTGGGGTCCCTGTGATGTGTTTTATGAAACTGTATTTCTCTGGCTGTGATAATTAGATTACCCATTGTGTTCAGTAATCATATCACAGCCAGAGGGGAGGATTTTGTGTGGGAGTGTCTGGGTGTATTGTATGGATTGATTGGCTGTTTTGTAATGCCCTGTGGGCTGTACTATGTTTGTGGACTGGGAATAAAAGAGACTGTATGTGACAGTACAGAGAGTTCCTGTTTTAACCCTCAAAGTGAAGTGTTGTCTCATTATTGGGGGAAGGATTTATTGTATGCTGTTCCAGTTTGACTGCTAGGAGAGTAAACCTATTCGTATGGTTCCTATTCGACTGTCTACAGCATTCATGCTTGAGAGAAGGTATACGCTTCTCTGGTTCGGTGATTGTGGTGTCTGCTGCAGTGCTTGGAGTCCTCAGGAAGCGCTAGGAGCATCTTTCAATGGAGGTACCCAGTCGGGGTGCCAGGCGATCCGTTACAGGGCATGTCTACTAAACAGTGCTCAGCCATGAGCGGTGGGTGGGGGCCCTAAAAGACAATGGGGGGGGGTGGGGGAAGACCTATTGTCCTCCCCCCCAGCCCCCACCCATGAGCGGCAGGTAAGGGCCCAAAGTAACCTTTCCACTGGTTTTTGGAGAGGCCTTTTTGCCAGCCTCCTGCCCTGCGACTATGGCCCTGGGATGTATTGCCCTTTAAAAGGAACTGAGTTGGGGCTTATGGACTTATATTATACTGTTACTGACCCTTTAAGAACTGTATTTGGGCATAATGGATTTTTATAATGCTCTTTCTGGCCCTTTAATTACTTTGGAGCAGTGTTGCAACTTTAAATTGGCACTTCGTAAGTGCCGAAATAGTCGCCATTCAGCGGTATGTGTAGCCAAATCCATGTAACTAAAAATCGGCTACACATTTCAACGAACACCGCTGACCCTTACCTTCATCTGCACCGAGTTTTCAGCCACAGAGACTAAGTCCCATTCGAAGACTCGAACGCATGTCATTTTTTTTAGTGTGAAATTGACCGACAGCACAGCCCAAATCTATGGAACTGTTTTGGGCAGGAAAATGTGTTTGGAATTGGTTGAATTTTGGATATGTTTGTAAGTAATATGTGCTGAGTTCGAATATGTACTTTATGAAGATTGAA